TGTTTTTCAAAGAAAAACTTAGACAGTGTGTTGACAGTGACCAGCATGTAGAGAATGTGAGTCACATGTTTACTGTGAAGAAACTGAGTGTCAGAATTGGAATGTAAATCCTTTTCAGAGCCTGAAAACATTAGGAATGCAATCTTTAGTCAGAATTTAGAGGACTCTTAGGACTTTCTGTCTGAAATGTTGATGGAAAGAGACTTGACTAAGGAGACTTGACTAAGGTCTTAGAAATGGTATCAGAGATAATATCATAATGCTTGTTCATCTCTAACACGACTAGTCATGACACTACTAGCTGACTCGTCCTGCTTGTTGAGAGTTTTACATGTTTGTAGCATCTAAAACTTCGACGAGGACTACGTACTCTTCGGAAGACGTTACACTACGCATTTACACATCCATCCACAACAACTAGAACCAGCTAGATTTTTCAGGCTGGTGCTGACTCGGGTCAGTTTTCGCAACAATTCTCGACATGATGTGGTGCTATAGCTGTCGTATTGCAAGAAGTACCAGCATGGGACTATAACGAATAAGTAATGTCAGATGAAGGCAAACAACCACTACAAACCAACGCCGTGATCGTCTCCAAGACAAAGGAGTGCTTGAGAAGACCTCCACGTGGACGTGCTGGCGTCTTGCTGATCCATGTAGACTGGCTACAGTGCAAAACTGCGTGCATGCCGAGACCGGTGTAGCAACATGGAGTTTCTTTAAGTACAGTGACAGTAAGAAAGGGAAGTTCAGGAGAGTACATGATGAGTCATTACGAAGTAAATGATATATGAGCTGCAATGGTCGCCGAGTGATTTATAGAAGGCAGTGAGTGAAGGCATGACGACGATTAATCGGGCTCGAGCAGCGTGCGAGTGGGTCAATGCATGAGTCAGTGACAGTCGTGATTGGCTAGATAAACGGACACCTGGCGGACCAAACGTTGGAATAAGATGAAGAATTTGACGGACCAAACGTGCAGATGAAAATGAAGACAACTGATATAACTCTTTTATCAAGTGTAGCACTTGATGAGCCTTTGTCATGATCCTCTTTTAATAGTTCGTTATCGTTCCTCTTTTATTAACAGTAGTACTCGCTGCGAAGATATTTCTGAAACATGGCTAATAGCGTGAGCGATACGTCTAAGCCACCATTCTTCGCATCCTGTTGCTACACGCGAAGCGGAGTCTTTCTCTTATGGAGGAATCACCACTGGTGTCTGTGGTGCTGTTACTGTTTGTACTAGGGATCTTGTGGTAGAGTAGAACTGGCATATTGCATAGAAGTGGTAGAAGAAGAGGTGGCATTCTAGGCCACATATTCAATCAAAGTGAATCACTGGGTACTTGCACATCAAGCAGATCCGTTTTATTTTTATCTTTTATCTTCATACATTTGCTTGCTGCCTCAGCAGCGACGGCGGAGCTGGTCGGTTTATCAGTTCTACCGGTTTCTATTAAGGCTTATTTTCATGACTCGTATTATTCGCCTTGCTTAAGAGGTAGCTAGAGGCAGCTTTGATGTGCTCGCAAGGGGAAAACCGTGCAAGACGCACTTGCGTCATCTTCTTCGGTAGGTTCTCCTCTTGCAGCGTCATGGTGAGATCCAATCTGCTGAATACCGGCACGCTCTAACGCTAGGATACGCGTACTTCTTGTATGGCGTATTGTTGCTCGTTTTTGTGGGTTATAGGAATGCAACGGATATCACCGAGGATTGCGAGGTCTCCGATGCGTTGGAAGCAATTATTATGGAAGACTAGAAAGAGATGTTAAGGCATTTCGCCGATGGCGTAGTATGGTCGTTTGGGATGCAGTATGATAGATGATGTAGAATAAGTTAAGGTAGCATATTATGGACGTTCGAGTTCGTAAGGTTAAGGACGCATATTGTGGTTGTGCCTAGTATCTCTGGCCTCGTGCATTGAAATTCTGAAGACTGTAACTACAGTGCGAGTGACTCGAAGAGTGGTCAAGGAGTTGGTTTTGTGATACAGCTTAGTTTTCAAATAGAAGAAAACAAGACGCCCTTTTGCTTGATCTAGCGGGGACCTCAGCCGGGAGGCCTTTGGTATCATTGTAACTTCATACTTTTTTTCAACTTGTCATGATGTGTCTAAGTTGGAGGACAGAGTAAGTGGCCAATTTCACTCTTCGTATTGGACGCGGACCCGGGAAGGGCTTACGCAGTTTTACGAAAAACCAAACTGACTAGGTCGTGGAGATTGTGCTATGATATCATGGATTTTTTTGCTCCTGGTAGTCGTGCTTACCATCATCAACTAGCACGCTGGAAGCATGGATTCTAGTCCTGGTAGGCGTGCATATTTCCATGAACTCGCACACTGGAAGCATGGATTTAGCTCCTGGTAGTCGTACTTACTAGCGTATTTGATCGTGTCGTGTCGGCCCGCTTCTTGTATATAGTAACTGCAGGAGTTACATCTGGTTGTGGTACCACATCATCGAAGTGTAGGTGAAGTACGCTTTAATTGTGATAGTGATGATGATAACGATGACACGCTCACTCCGTCACAAGTGAGCCCACTCCTATCCTATCCTATGACAATAATGATGACGATTTTCATCACCTATTCTGTGGGATGTAGGTCTCGATTTGTAGAAATCTCTCATAGTTATCATGTCCAGCATGCCTTAGCTACTCAAGTTTCAAGATCTACACCATCTTTTTGCTGGATCCTCAGGAATTGAATTCATTTATTAGGCGATAAAAAACCACTTTTTCGAGAATTCAACTTCAAAATTCGAAATTTGGAGCAATTTCATCCACATTTCCATCATTCTGGAGGTTTTCTAGGTTCGTGGTACCTGGATGTGGATGAAATTTGTGGGCCAAATCCCAAGTAATCATCAAGGAGATCTTCCTCTTGCATATCGTTCTTCTTAGACGGAGTTAACTACAAGTACGACTACTAATACTACTACTAATAATTAGGTAACTGCTGCGACAACTGCTATTTCTGTTGTTTTTTGTTTTGTGTACTATACTGGTAAGTAGGTCGTAGTTCTAAGAAGCCACTGAATGGACCGGACAAGCTCTGGCTTGCGACAGCGATTGGAATGTCCACCAAGCCTGTCCTGCCGCAGATTATCGCTTTCTCCAGGCAGCTGTCACCGGTTTGTGCGTCGCGGTTATGAAGATTGGCATCTTGAGAAGCACAAGTGACAAGCACAAGTGAAGCAGTTGGCTTAGAGGTTTAGGCGTTGGCCTGTTTACTTATCAGCGGTTCAAAGTTTTTCCTCTTCGACGTGCCCCGAGATGAACGACGACTGTGCTTCATTCTTCTACGGAACTTGTTTCATTCTTCTACCCTACTGCCAAAACGCATCCTCATCTTCATTCCTTTCTGGTTTAAAGTCGTGAGTGCTACGATGTTGCAGCGTGCTTTCCGTTATTTTTCTAGGATGCCTAGGGAGTTGATAATGGCTGGCAACGCGCGACGTCGTACCTGGACAGCGTGGATCTGGGATGGCTTGTATGGTTTCCTGGCTAAGCAAGGTCCTTTGCTTCACCGCCTTTTTTCTGCCCTGGAGGTGCTTTTCTTCGCGTTACTAGCAGTGGGTTGGGGTACGAGCATGTGCAGGGGGGACCTGCGGTACACGCGAGAGTGTCTCGAAGGAGACATGGGATGTGCGATGTATCGGATCGCGAATTTTAAGGCTACAGTGAATGTTCATGCATCCTCGTCTTCAGGATCTTCTTGATCCTCCCAGAGCTTCGCGAGCGAACAAAACGGGCGCCAAGAAAGATGCGCTCTCCAAGAAGTGGGTCCTCTCTCTCCCTGTCTCTGTGACAGAGATGAGTTTCGTCTCTAGAAGTCGCATCCTTCTAGTTCTAACAACTGCAGATATTTCTACGCTTTAGTGCAGAGTGCCAACGGACCGGCGCGTGAGGAGTTCCCGGATTGCTACGATCAGAGTATCTATTCTCCTTTCTCGGGACTGGCAGATGTCCGCTTTCTGACCGAGCAACGCTGCTTAAATTATGGCTCACAGTATAATTCCTGATCTTAAAAAGGAGAAGGATCTTCTATTTATTCTCATTAAATAAGAAGCATCTTACCGGGTAGAAATCGTCAGGGAAATCTTAGGCATTCAGCCGAAGAGATTCGTGTCATCAAGAAGTATCGTCTTTGATCCCCAATTCTTCAGCAAAGGAAAGAAATACTCGCACTTCTAACCAAAGGAAGCTTTTCTGACCGTAGACGTTCGTCGTGCGGCGAATATGAACGACTTCGACGTCCTAAGTTTGGCTGATGACCGCGATGTTATGTCGTAAAACTTCTAGGACATTTCGGTGAAGAAGTAGCTTTGTTCCGGATGTAAATTGATCATGTGGTATTCTAGTCGTTCAGCTTGAGGTCGAAAAGCTGGCGCGCCAGCGCAGGTCGTCATCTCTAACGATAGCAGTTCCGGTCGATGGGCGTGTCCCGTTACGAGTAATTCGTGTCCGTTTTCAGCGGACTGGGGAGCCGTCGTATGTGCCTGTCCGGACCAGCTCAGAGGCATATTAGATGCAACGCTTTTGGGAAACTTGTTGACACAGTGTAAATATGGCAACATTCCTAAAGTCACTGGGCGTCTTCTATTATATTATCGTCAATTTGATTTTTGAGCGGTGGCTCTTTCTTAATTTTTGTCTATGTGTGATTATCAATAATCAATCACGGGTGTCAAGATAGGACAATGTAAATGTGTGATTATTGGATGTCAAAATAGGACTCCAACAAGAATGTAATAGGACTATATGTGTACAGGTCAAAGACGACAAGGGAGCACTCCTCAATCTACATAGGACTACATGTAGAGCAAGGGTACTCGTATGATATCTAGGCGAACTCAGTTGTTGAAGCCTTCACAGTTGTAGAAGACTTCACTCCAGCTGACGTACAAGTTCTCGCCTCATCTCTAATCACATCTGAGGCGAGGCCTGACGCAGGAAGAAAACACGATGCAGACACCTCTGAGGCAGGAAGGAAGCACGACCAAAACCACTTGGGATTTGACCCAGAAAGAGACGACTTCTAAGGAGTTCCAGGAAGACAGGACGACCCAGCCATCAATGGAGGAGGTCTTGAAGAAGGCACACCAGCCATCAATGGAGGAGGTCTTGAAGCAGAATCCGCCCTCTTCAATGGGACAGTCGCAGCCCTCTTCAATGGGACAGTCGCAGCCCTCTTCAATAGGACAGACGAGGATTTTGCAACAAGGGTACAATGTTGAGGTGGAAGCCACCGCATGTTCTTGGGGTTCTTCGGATGACATGCAAATTATGTCGGGGTATCTACTTGTACTCGAGCTCGCCTATTATATAGGAGTTCATATTTCCAAAGGATACAACATAAGGAAGGAGACTTAATTTGATCGAAGAACATCCTGCGTCAAAGTCACCGAAAATTTGAGTGCTAAGCAGCCGTTCTTGAAGAATGTAGCCTTCTCTAAGATTAGAATTTTTGGGGCTGCAGAAAGATTCCTGTTTCAGCACTTGAATTAATGCTGTTTGAGCACTTTTAGGAATCATTCCTCTTCATATAGTCCCTCTCTGTGTAAGTATTGCTATCAATTAGTAGCACACTTGTCGAATTTGAATTCATTGCTTTTCTACTTCTCAACAATAGTGTAGAAGCAAAAGTCTTTCCTTCTACTTCCCCTCTGCGCTACAGTCCTCCCTTCTACTTCCCCTCTAAACAGGACTTCGCTTTTGACGAGGAGAACTGTGATAAAACGTCCTGGCTCTACGACTGGATACAGATTTTAGGCTGCGTCGGAGCTGTGTTACTCCTGTCTTTCGGTCTAGTCTCCGCCATATGGATAGACGCTGAGGTGGAGCCGTGGTTAAGGAGGATCCACTATTGATTAATATAGGAATGGCGACTTCTTTCGAGGCTTGGCGACCTTCTTTTGGGCCACCCATCCTCTTCGTAGGGCGCCCGGATTCATCTGCTTTGCTGGGTTCTCCGGGCCGCCGTGGCAGCGTCGGGTGGGGTGTGAGGAGTTGGTGGCCCAGGTTTAGGATGGTTTAAGCCGCCTCTCCAACATGCCGCCTTGTCCCCATCGGTGGCCTTGTGCGGTAAGTAGGATTGCACGTTAGGAACGCTTCGAAA